TAAATCAACACATTTTGTCAACAATGTCTTGTTTTATTTTGGATCATAGCTGATTGAGAAATTAAGTTACTGTAATACAGGTATATCTCAATTAACGAATTAACAAATTTATTTTGGTTATTCAATTGAGAAAACAAAACTCATACTTTCACTGAGTAATATACATAAGTGGGTTTTTTTCTGTTAAATTAAATGATTTAAATGTAAAGGAAGTTCCTTAGAAGGTTTGAATATTTCAAAAGACCAATAAGAGAAACTTACAGAAATAATACTCTACTTGAAGGAGTCAATGAACAGGCCCATTTTCTTGCCTAATTTATATATGAGCAGCTATGTGAAAAAAACTTTCAATTTTTGAATTGAATTACTTTCATAAACTAACTTTTCAATTATAAACTTTCTGAGATCAGACTGTTATCCTGCAAAAACAGAAACTGTTGCTTATATTATCCTTCCTCAGACAAATCTACTTCAGCTTTTGCTTCAAAGCTCCCATTTTTCTGTATCTGCAGATTGATCCTTCACCTCACTCTAAGCTGCAGTCGATGGTTGTTAAGCCATGGCCGTCTCTTAATCACAACACAGATACCTGTTAATTACCAAATGAGTTCAAGTATTTTTGCTACTTAAACAGGGATTTGGGATCAATGCATTGCTTTGCTCTGGTTTCAGCACTGAGAACAGTTGATCATCAAGTTGCACATGGTTTGCTCTGCATGCAATGGCTAAAGCAGACACGGGGCAAAGCAATAGGCATATTAATGGACTTCTGCACAGATGACATAGTTTGGTGGTGGGTCATGGATAAAGTATGAACTTGTAAACTCACAGAGGGGCCTCTTCCTTCTCCCTCCCTCTCACTAACTCACCCTCACCCTTCGTAGTGTCATCAGTTTGCAGATCTTCTCTACGAGAGCAGTGATTAGCCATCTCTCTCACTCTCATCCCCAGCAGAGTTCACACAGAGGTAATCAAGTAGATTTTCATCCTTGGAGGCTCTGGTTTCCCCATGCCTTTGTTCTTTGGTATCTCCTTTTTAGCCAAAGTCCTATCTGTTTGATTATATTGTCATGGAGTATTGTAAATACATTTTTTGATACATAAATTTCTTTCGGTTACATTTAAATTACTTCAAGGCTCTTAATGAAGGCAGGTCCTTTTTTTTTTTTTCTTTCTACCACCAACCAGTGCCAGAGATTCCCAGTCTGCAGGGTTGATTTGAGCCGGCGGCGTCTGAGGTGTGGTCTTAGTGGACCGTTTTGCTGTGATCACAGCAGGCAGTGGGAGGTTAATCCCAAGAGAATGGAGGCTCAATCTTCCCCCGCCTCCAGTTTTTACCCAAGGCTCTCACATCCCCTGCTGCATAATGGCCCGGCAGAGTTCTGTGATACCTGAACAGATTTCTATTCTGCTTCAGATTCTCATTATTATGACATTTAGCCATTTGGGAGCTGACCCCCAGCCTTTCTGTAAACATGTAAATTAAATCTGAGATGTGCAGCAAAATGAACAGATATTTTGTATTCAGTGTCTTGAAAAAGTCTTCACTCCCATTTTAAATTGTGCACAATTGGTCCATTACAACCACAGACATTACTGTTTTTTATGGAAATTTCATGTGATAAACCAACACAAGATTATATCTAATTAATTTAATTATAACCTTGAAGATTTGCAATTTTTTTTTTAAACGGTCATTCTGAGAAGTGTGGCATGCATTTAAATTCTGGCACTTTTACTCTAATATCCCTAAATAAAATTCAGTGCAACTACGTACTTTCAGAAGTCACCTAATTAGTAATGAGGGCATCTGTATATGGTTATATACAGTTAATGCATGTGTAGTATATGTAGAGCTGTGAGGTAAGAAAAGGAATTTATTCTGATTTGGAAGAACAGTGTAAGATTACAAAACTTGACAAAAAGGAAGTGCTGTGAATAACTTCATATATTTATCATTGATACTGATCATATGAAAATAGAGTAAAGGAAAACTGGTAACTTACCAAAACATGGCTGTCCACCAAAACTGACAAGACAGTCGAGGGAACCACAAAACTGACATTTTTGGAAAAGTGTGAATAAAAAAGCCATTCAGTTTATATTTTGTCACAAATAGAATCTACAAAGAACACTGCTTTGTATGCAAAATGCCATGTGTTGAGGAAAAATAACTACACATCAGCATGAAAATACCTTCCCCACTGTGAAGCCTGGTAGTGGTAGCATAGTGCTGTGGGGACGCTACAGTAAGGATTGAGAAGCTGGTCAGACAGTTGATGGAATAGATTTTGGGTGATCCTGGAAGAAAAAAGGTTTAACAATGGCGCCGATGTTCACCTATCCACAATGGTTTTGATAAAAGTATATTTATATGGCAGAATGGCCCAGTCAAAGTCAAAAACCAGTGTTTTTGCAAAGTATTAATTCATGTGGACTGAATCCAAAAGCACTGAGAATATTTTGAGGGAAAAAAAATCTATCATTTTCTTCCCACTACTTTGTGGTTGTAATCGGACAAAATAAGTTTTAGGGATATGAATACCTTTGCTAGACACCAAGTATTTAAGTGCTAGTTAATCCTAAATATTCGATTTAAATAGCTGCAGCGTAGGTTAATTTTACATAATCATCAAGGTGAAAATCTTAATGAGTAACTTAATGATCCCGAGGAGTAAGACCGCAAAACAAGCTCCGCATTTTAAGGGAAATTGTGTCCCTTCCAGGACGGAGCGTTTTGATATACATTTAGTTTGCTCTAGCCCTGAGAAATTATTTCAGATGGCAGAGTATGCATCTGTTTTTCCCTGGAGTCTTTCACACATATCTGTGTGTAATTAATGTGAATTTTGACAGATGGAGGGAAAAAAAATGTCCGCATAAGAGAGAAGGGTACATGCCACAATGTGTGAAGTGCAAGCTTGATGGGAGCTTCTTGTATTATATTCGCTGTCCATGCCAGCTGGACTAGCAGCTAGAGAAATGTTACAGGTAGAAATTCAAGCTTTAAATATATGCGGAAATCACAGAAATTCAACGGCCACCATAAATAGTTTGGTGTTTTTTTTTTTTTTTTTTTCTCTTGTTACTGTTGGAAATTAATGTGAAGCGCTTTTAGTATTGTACTAAATTTAGCTTCATAAAAATCTAAACATATCCTATATCATGTATCTGCATGCAGGGTAATTTTCATGAAATATCCAAGAAAGCGCAATTTTGTTCAATAGTAATTGTGACTGGAGGTCATTTTTTAAATTAAAAGCTTAATTTGCCTTTTAGGCTGTGTGTGCGTGTGCTGTTGTTTGAAACCGTGCTATTTCTGAAAGCATCGGGGTCTGACTTAGATATTAGTATAACTACATTATCACACTTTTTTTTTTTCCTGCCTGGTAGCAAACATGTAAAAATGAGGATTACAACTCTGGAGAAGGCAACAGGTCATGGTTGGTAAGCTGCCCGGGGGGGTCACTGATATAGAGTCACTTTTGACAGGCTGTGGAGGAGGCTCTATTGTTACTGGTGTGTCTGGATGTTACCTGCAGGCACTATCACTGAGACTACAGTATTATCCTATTATTAGGCTTAGTTGTTTACGCATATTACTGCTTGTCAGGTAGGCAGAGAATCCTTCTGAAAATGAGCATCTGCAGAAAAAATACATGACTACTTCTTTATCTCATTCAAGTACATCGGCTTAGGATAATTTTCTGAGGCCTGTAAGAATGTCTTCATAGGACAAAACAAACATAAATTTAAGATTTCTGTTTACAGGGAAGCATTTGATCCTTTGAAAATGTTTTACCACACCGCCAACAGTGTTATTTGGCAGTCGGCATTAGAACGTAAGAAAAGCGGCACCTGTTTTTTTATGTGTTCGTGCTGATATCATTATGGTCTCTGCTTCAATTGAAAGTGCATATACTGTAAGAGGGACACTGTGTCGCTGTTTGTAGAGGAAGTGAACAAAATAAAAAAAGCCCATCATATGGTCTGGCAGATTTTGGGCACCAGACCAGGGATGACAAATGTGCTCTTGCAATAATTCAATCTGCTCTCATAATTCTCTAACTTTTAGGGACAGACAGAATGAAGATTTTTTTTTTTTTTTTTCCGGCAATTAAGCCGCCAAATCATCGTCCAATAACTGTGATCAAGTGTTAGTTAAGATGCTTTTTCTCTCCATTGACAGATTGAGGGGTATAAAGATACTTGGTGAGAGGCAGAAAGTTACTGTGAATATGTTAACGAGACGATTCTGGTGTCGCATCCAAAATGTTGTCATTTTGTTTATGTCACAGGGAAGATATTAAGTTTAAGTAATGACAGAAGGGACGGCGCTTGTTTGAGAAAAGAATAAGATGATCAGCTACAGTTGATGTTCTCACATATTTCTCACTTTTAAAATAGTTTTTTCATGTTAAGCCAATATTTTAGGCTTGACAGTTAAATTTGATAATGAAAGAAAAGTCATAAATCTTATTTTGGGAGGTTGTTTGAGAGATGCACTGATCTTGCTTTTCCTGGCTGATATTGATTCTGAGAATTTTCTCTCAGGCCAATAAACTCCTAATGGAGGGAATACATTTCTCCAGGTTTCTTGACAGAGGTGGCAGTTTTGAAGCGAACAGAAAATGAAGCAGTTACAGGATTTTCCATATTTGTGCATCAAAACATGCATCCCTAACCTTTCATTACAAAACTCACAAAAGTAAATCAAAGTGCCTTCTGTTAGTTAATGTTTTCTTAGACTAAAGATGGTGGCATTTCTTAATTTTGATGCATTATTACGAATCAGTACCTCTGCTTTGATTGGTTGATTGATGAACCTCAAACTTATTAAAAAAAAGTTAATGACACGAGAAGAAACTCAACTGAATCAAAAAATAACTATAAACAGCACACTTAAGGCAATTATTAGAGCCGGTTTTGAAGCCAATAAAACCATGCCTGCCTGTGTTTAAAAAGTAATAATGTGTAAATGTTTGTATGTTTACATGTAGAAAAAGATGTACGTCCTGGTGATGGTTGATCCTGATGCTCCCAGACGCTCCCAGCACTCTGCTTACTGGAGACACTGGCTGCTTGTGAACATAGAGGTACAGTAAGTCTCCCAGAACTTCTGCTCCTTCACCTCTTTGGTTTTGCCGATGGTGATACAGGCGGTGCTTTTTATTGGATTAGAAAGTCATACAGCATCATCAAAATTTACAAAGTTGTGTTTGGTTGCTTGCTTTTTTTTTTTTTTTCCTCAAAGTGTGCATTTTCATAATCTCATGGTCTCATTTGGCACATCTCATGTTTACATCTGCATCAGGGCCGATCGTAAAGCCGAAAAATTATGAATGGTTTTTTAAGCCGAACTAGGTTACAAAAAAACGGTGCCAAGTTTGAAAATGTTAATTTTTCATATCATGTATCTTGTGCAATAAATGCCTGTGACAAAAGTGTGGGAGTAAGTCTTTCTAAATGGCTGTGAAAGTTTGCAAGGCCCTGTCAGCAGCAATTTCCCTCTGCTGCGCAGTGCCTGGGACGTGTCAATGCGAGCGTGTGAGACTGAGATTGGGGAGAGCAGCATGCGAGGCGCACACTTTTCCTCCCATAGTGCTCCAGTCCCTCAGCTCCCCCTTCAGTGGAGAGATCTTGGCAGAGTGTCCTCCCTTCATCTGTTCCCCCAGGCAGAGCAGCTCCCCCAATGATCCACACTTCTCCATATTTTACACCCCCGAAATGGGCACGGCTCCGATCCCCTTATTTCTCTTCGTATTTCACTCCTTTTTATCCATTCGCTTGTGTTTTCGCATTCTTGCATTCTAACGCCAAATGCATGTTGAGTTGTTGATTGCCTCAAATATTTTGAGGTTTGCAGACATTTTTTATAATCCCTTGGGAACTGGGAGATCAACCCAGTAGATTAGAAACTAGGGGTCTGAAAAGCAAGATCACAAAGCTGCTTCAGAGATGTATCGCTGCTCCCTTTAATTTTTTTTAAAAGACTTGGTTTTTAAACTGAGTGCCACATCGATTCAAAGATCCAAAAGTGTTGAATTTGCGAAGAGCTCACAACAGGTTTAAAATTAGCGTTTTTTGATTTGTTCTGCATAAAATTGCTCTTAGGAAATCATTTTTGCAGCCGTGCTGGCAAGCGCATTAAAGATCCAATGGTGTTTTTTTTCTTTTTTTTTTTTTCTCTCTCTCTCTCTAACTTATGTATATTAACAATAAAATCCCAGGTATGGATTCCCAGTATATCACAAAAATAAAGTTTTCAAAAAAACACTGAAGGAAAACAAGATGCTATATTTGCTTTTTTTTTAATACGAGTTGATAATATCACAGGTGGCACTATTAAATACTATGGTGCATGAGTGTGTATTTACATAAAAAAACACACACAATCCTCTTTCCTCACTGTCTTGTACATTAAATCAGATTAACCATGTTAGGGCAGTTAGTATTATCAAACTAAATCCAATTTGATAAACGTAAGAATAATGTTTTTTTTTTTAATTAAATTTAGAACTTATTTTTTCTAAAATAGCTGGTAGAATTGCCTTTGACTTGGATCACACATTTTGAGCATCCTTCTACAGACGGTCAGAAGTTTAATGTGGCCCTTTCCTTCTGACAAAACTGGAGTCTCTGAGGTAGGTCTCAGGCCGTCCTGCTCACACACCCCGTCAGCTCTACTAATAAATAGTTGATGGTAAAGCAGAGTTCTGAATTTGTTGTCCTGATGCCACATTGCAACCGGCTTGCTTGTTTGCTTTGAGATGCTGTTTATTTGGAAAACTCATTTGAGCTAAAGTTAAGTGTTTGTCTCAAGTTTGAGATCTGAGTCCATTATTACACCTAGATCTCATCATAATGTATCATCTTCATAATTATGATAACTAATATTATTAATTGTTCTGACCTGAGCTATCTGGGACGTGTAGATAATACTTAAGAGGGGCCCAAGTTGTAACCTTGGGGTACCTCGAATGGGATTTTTGTCTGGTCCGATGAAAAGAAGAAGCCCGAGTTCTTTAGAAAAGACTCAAATGAGTAAAGCACTTTACCTGCAAATTCAACCGAGCTCTCCAGTTGCTTCAAAAATGTGTCATGGTCAATAGTGTCAAATGCTTCTCTGATTCAACAGAACCAACATTGTGGTTCTTTATTTATGTGGAGGTCGTTGAACACTTTGAGGGCCGTCTCCATACTGTGGTGAGCACATTTATTTAGGTGTTGAAACACACCTTTTGCCATTATTTTACTGACGAATTTAAGGTTTGAGATTGGCTTGTAATTCTGTAAAATAAATTTTAGTAGCTAGTTCTTTCCTCATGTGATTTCATCAGAGGCTGAGGTAGAAAAACCTTTTTGATATAGAAATGTGGACTTGAATAAAGCATGTTTCATACCTGCAAAAAGGTTGTTTTTAAAAGGTACTTCCAGTCTGACAAACAAGCCTCATTTGTTAAATTTAAACTTGTATCTAAAGTTGGTTTGGTCCATGTTATGTAAACAAAATAGTTATTTCATTATTTACCTCATTTTAAGGACAGACCGGTATACTGCTAAAAGAAGAAACGTAATCATTTCCACTTCATGAAATTTCACCTTTAATTTTTATTCTCAAGCCTGTGAAGAAAGCCCGGTATATTCACCAGCTGTGAATAAACGAATATCTTTCAAGCCTTCAGATAGACGACATTCTCTCAAGCAATTCATTTTCCTGTCACTTGTGTGGGTGTTGACCTGCTCTGCCCATGTTGGATTGGCCAATGTGATGAGATGTTTTTCTGATTGTGACTGGTGGTTGGTCAGAAGGGTTAATGAGCCTTTTGAGTGAAGGCAGCTGTAGTGGGAGGTGTTTAATTGACCACGGTGGCCAGGTGACATGACACAACCTCCATTTTGTTTCAAGTGTCAATCTGAACACGTCGGATTTTGCTTCAAGCTCAAGTCTTTTGAATTTGTGAATGAACACATACTTCAGCAAATTAATGAGTGCTGATTAAAGGATAATTAGTTCCGTCTTCTACAGTGTAAAGAGTGCTGCGCGATAATATTCTCGGCATGTTTGTTGATTTTAACTCTGAGGTCATTGTTTCAAATGCCAAACGGATCTGTGTTTACTTTTTCCACAAGTCAAATGATATGAGCTGCAGCAGCCATATTCTCTTCATATATATTCATGGGTCCAGGGTCATACAACCTTGCCCTGGTTTGAAGATGTATCCATAATTACTGTGTACTCTTTGGAGTTGTAAAGATAAAGATTTCCATAATTCAGCCGAAAGCGAGGTGAGGTCAGCCTGGACCGAGCAGCGAGCCGCAGCACATTTAAGCCGATCCCTCAGTTAAAGTCTCATTAGAGAAGAAAAAGAAGCAACAAGGACACGCTGAAGTGCCTCGTGTGTTCGTGCTTTGCTCGCTTCTGCTTCGAGTACGAACACAACACATGGCTCTTCACTTAACAAGGCATGTGTTGAGGATCTCCTTGCTTTGTCAGCCATGCCAGAAGTCTCTGGAGAGCACGACTTGTAATATTTGAATACTTGTTGCCAGGTTCTGTGCTGCTTACCCACAGCATTATAGAGAACGTAGATGTAAATATTGCTTCCTGACATGGGATGATTTAATGGGCAACTTTTAACCAAATAAGACCCTTTGACAGGGCTGTTTTCTGTACAATATTCTCTATTAGATTTTTTTATTTGTCTTACAGAAGTTATAAAAATCTTTGCGGTCAGCTTTTATATTCGTCCATTGACATTGTAAGATGTCTTAATTTTATGTCCTATAAACTTATTGCATTTAAAGATGTACAAATATATTTAAACCTTGGGGGAAGGTGGTGATCAACAAAACATTTAGCAATAATAAATCACATTATGCAAGCTACTTATTTCAATGGGAGGGATTTGTTTTAGAACAATTCTAAAACATTATTAAAGGTTTAATATAGAGCTATAATTATTCATAATTTTGGGCAGTACAAGTCTATTAAGTATTTTATTTTTTACCAACATGCATCTTTGGACTGGATGTTATGTTAATGACCCAACCAGAGTCCTGAGTTGAATCTGACAGAAACTGTGGCGACAGCTACAGATTGGGGTGATGGCAAAGAGGTCTTCCAACTTCCAGGACTCAATTATTTTCCTGGTAAATTCAACGAACCGTAAAACACTGCGAGTGTGAGATGTTTGCAACATGCAGCCAGTCTGAAAACAATGCTCTGCTCAACAAAACAAAAACAAAAATCTGGTATTTCTCACACATAAAAGAAAAAATAAGATGTAAATGTTAAACCTACACCTTGCTTTTTGCCATTTCTGCAGCTGTCTTCATCACTTGTTGCCTTGTCTCAGCTGCTTGTTGTAGGTCACAAACACCAGCATCAGCACATCTTTACAAGCATGCAGAATAACAATGCAGAAGTTACAAACAATAAACAATCATAATTTTATGTTTATATCAACTGTCAAGTCTTTTATCACATCTTTAGTTTGGTCTGCCAAGAACAATTTATTCCACCAATTAAGTGCAAACTGTGTGGCTGGATGTCTTGTCTTCTCTCACCAGCTGTCCACTTGCTTTTAGAATAACATTATTAGATGATGGATATGCATTTTCAATGCAGCTGCCTGTTATGATTGACCCTCTGAGCTACAAAAACAGTCATTTAGAATATTCTTCAACACGCACCCGCGTTTTCACATGAATTATGGACAATTACCAAAATAAGCGTACAACAGATTGTTGTCTCGCTCTCTGAGTCAAATTCCAGATTGTGAGCCTCTCCCTCTTTCTCTCTGCTCTCCTGGAGTCTAAATCAATACAGATGTTCCGGTGAGGACTTGCAGTAATAATTACTGCAACAAGCAAGTCATTTGGATCCGAATGAGTCAGTTTATATAAACATAACACTAAGAGATACTTTTTTCTCCTTAATGCAGTAGTAAAATTATCTCCCGTGCTCTTAAGAATAAAAAAAGATGTTCATTGCTGTTACATAGTATCAGGTTTTACTTATGTGTAACCTAAGACGTCCCTTGCTTAAAGGTGTGTCACTGCAAAATTAATCTTTCTTAGAATGTTTTCTTTG